AATTTTAAAAATGGAATTGTATGTACTTCAAACCAGTGCTTCACTCCTTTCTTCTGCATGCATTTTAATTACCTGCAGAGCACTTGAAGAGATTACAGGTAGTCCTTGATTTATGATCACAATTGGGACCAGAAGTTGTTACTAAGCAATTACAGCCATTAAATGAGTTATCACATGACTGAGTCTAATTTTACAACATTTTTTTTGCTGTGGCCATTATGTGAATCATGCAGCTGTTTAGGAAATCTGGCTTCTCCCACTGACATTGCTTGACAGAAGCCAGCTGGGAAGGTTGCAAAAGGCGTTCTCATGATCCAGGGATGCTGCAACTATCCTAAATACATCCAAGCACCACAGTTGCAATCATGTGACCATGGGGATGTTGCAATGAATCGGTTACAAGTCACTCTTTTCAGTATTGCCATAACGTTGAACAGTTGCAAAACAAATAGTTTTTAAGTCTAGGACTACCTATATAAGAAGATCTCTAGGTTGTGAACTAGACTTTCCGATCCACAAGAAAGCAACAGCAAACCACTATCATATGGTTGCCAAGAAAACTTCTATGTGAATATTCTTGGGGGGGGGGGTTCCTTATCAATAGTCCTAGCTTAGTGACAACAACTGGGAATGGCAACTTGGTTGCTAAGTGGCACAGCTGCTAAGTGTCAAATCATCACCAATTTCCTCTTTTCTTATTTCTTCTCTTTTAATTCTGCTTGTCATAAGTTGGCTGCAAAGTCCACAAGTGGCGACCATATGACTGCAGGAAACTGCAACATTCATAAATGTGAGAACTGCAAAGCTACTTTTACACTGTGTAACTTGAAGCTGTTGTTAAAGGCAATCAAGTCAGTAAGCGAGGAATATCTGTACCCCCTTCACTAAGAGCCAGTTTGGTATAGCAGTTAAAGCATTAAGCTAGCAACCAAGCCACTGTGAGTTCAAGTCCTGCCTTATGTACAAATCTAGCTGGCTGATCTTTGGCCAGTCACTTTCTTCAACCCTAGGAAGCAGGCAATGGCAAACAACTTGAAGTCTTGCCAAGAAAACTGCAGAAACTTATGCAGACCACCAACACTGATTCAAAGGTACAAGAAAAAAAACTATTATCTTTTAATTAAAACTCATTAGAGCATTTCTAACTCATGTATTCATTTTATATTGATGGACAAATTCAGAAATATGTTAAGTAGCATTCCAGAGTACATTTCTTTAGGTGTCTGCAAATTTTGTGAGTCAGAAATAACCAATTCTCTCTTAATATTAGAAACGTTTTAGTAATATTGACATTTTAAACAAGTTTTACAATTAACCCAATGCCATCGTTAAACCTGCCCTGAGAAATGGCAACAAAGCAGAAAATAATTTTTAATATAGTCAAATGAATAAGTCACTTTTCCATTCCCCACCGCCCTATTTACCATCCAGATAACAGAAACTCAAACATCCTCCTTCAAAACGTGAAATACATGCAGGCAAAATTCAGGGTAATTGCTAAATGAACAATTGTTCTGTTTTGTTTCTTTCTTCTGGTCATAATATTTTGAATAAAGTCCCTCCAAGAACACTTACTGCACACAGGTGTGCAAACATTGAAATGTTTGCAGTCAGGAAGTGTCAAAAGCATCCTTCCGAAATGATTACTTTGTCGTTAAAAAAAATATATTCATTTTTTAAAGCCTACATTCAAGACTTCAAAATCTTTCTCCACCACACACATTGTTCAAAGCAAATCCAAGAAAGGGTAAATCCAGAATGGAATAAACTGCTAAGATATTGCCTCAACAATTTATTATTTCTTTCAGACAACTCATTTCCTTTGTATTTTGCCTACGATGGGATAAACTGTAGAACTGCTTTGTTACCTATTTTAAATTCCATTTGTGTGCCACAAAGCTACGATTTAACCTTTGAGACAGAACACTGCTTTGAAGTATTTAGTCTATCCAGATGTACAAAGGTGACATAGAAGTGTTCCCCTCCACCAATTTCCCTAAAGCAACAACTCTTTGTGTGGTGATTGTTTTAACTTTTCTACATTTATGTTGCTGCCTCGAGTCAATCTTTAACCTGAAAATCTCCCCTTACCCCAAATTATCTTCCCAAGGAAGACAGATTTGTAAAACTGTACAAGTAACCATCCAGTATTTTCAAGAAAGCAGAAAGGAATTAGGTTAAGGGACAGGGAATAGCAAGGAATGATGGCGGAAGAGTTAAGAAAAGGAAATTGAGTCCTTGTACAGGAAAATGAAGAATGCGTGTACAACCAGCACAGGAAATGAGAAAAGGAGGAAACTGCCACTTTATAAAAGATACAGGAAAATAAATAAATCTGCCTTCAGACAAAAGTGCTTAGGACTGATGGGAAAGAAACTGTTAGTTAGAAATAATAAATGAGAGGGCAAAAGCTAAAGTAGTTTGTGTAGTTAGGGGAATCCACAATGTCAAAGTTTAGCAACTAAGGTCCAGCTAGCTACATATGGATACAGAACCGCAAAAGAAATCTTGCCAATTGTTTGTCTTTTAGCCAGAGAAAGATGCAAGACTAGTGAGGCCCATTAATGCCTCCCTTCCCGAAGTGAAAGAAAAGACCACAAGTTTCAGAAAGGAATTGATAAAATGACAGAGGGTTAGAGTTCAGAAGGACTATAATGATACACAGCGAGAGTCCCCAGGCAAAAATCGATGGGACACCTGCCTGGCTAGACGTCAGATGTCAGCTTATTTATTTTCAGAATCTTTTAATTAAAATCAATTAAATCCAATATACCCAGAGGACGCCAGGTTGGGAGAGTTCACAGAATTAAATTAAATTCATTAGGATTAGCAGAAGGGAGCACCAATGAAATCACAGAACAGTGGGTCTAACAATAGGTGCTGAATTACTAGTGCTGACTGTCCATGAAATTCACTGGCTAAGGACAAATCGGTAACCAGGTTCAGGTATCATACTCAGCAAAGTGTAGCTTTATTTTTAGCATATTCCACCAAACTGTGATTTAACAAACAATAGTTTGCTAAACATTTGTGTAGACAGAGGTTCCCTGAGGATGGGCTCCAGCGCGAATCCGAAAGCTCAAAAGACTCTGGTCTGGGTGACCAACCCAGATTGGATCTTGGAAGCCATAGTTTAGCTAAATTGTAAACCAAGCTCTGTCTAAGTCCATCCTTCTTTGCAGTTATAAGGATATGATGGGAAAGTTCTTGTGCATGCATTTGACCATGAATCCAGTGGAGAAAGAGTGGGACATCAATATGAATAATAGGGAAGCATCACGGTGTGCCCAACATGCCATCTCAAATGCCAGTGAAGCTCATTTTCAAGTTTCAAGCAAACTTTCTCAATCTGGTATCCCTCATACTTCTGAATCTCAACTGCTTTTTCCTAGCTAGGGTAATGTACTGGAATGCACAAGGCTGGAGAAGACTTAGATGAACAAACAGCAAGAATGGAAATTATACTCTAATGCTCATATTAAAGTATAGTAAAGAATGCTCATATTCATGCCTTTAAAAAAAACACCTACAAATGGCTTATGACAAGTAACTATTACTTGTGGTACTCCTTCAAATTATATAATTGCTCCCATTCTGAAAGGTATCCAGCAGTTGTGCTTTTCCATAGGTTCCCTCTGCTACTGCCCAAGGCATGGAAATCTAGCAACTTAAAAGTATATTAATTATAAACTATATAATTAGTATGTAAACTATAGCTACTGACTTATACCTGGTAGTTTTCCAGATCTGGCAGTGAACACAATGGCTATTTGCACTACTAATTGCCACCAGTGGACAAAACAAGTGAAAGTATATGCCTCTCTTGGGTGTGGCTGCTATTTCAGTACACTTGGATGTCTCTAATTTGTAAAATGAAGTTTCTTTGTCTTCTACACACCTTGTTTTAGTAAGCAACAACCAAGCACAGACTTTCCTTCCATCACCCTTTCGTAAAAAAAAAAAAAAAACCATAAAGAAATCAAGAAAGATGCTGTGCAGACATTCACTCAACAGATGTAATTCGAAAAGTATGCCAAACAACTTCTACACACAATGCACCCAGAGCCCTTATTTTGTGGAAATTCATTTTTTACAGCTGTACTGGGAAAAGCAGAGACGCCCCTTCTCCAAAATTAAGATATTTTGGCAGGCTACTGAAAAGAAATAATGTACATGGTTAGAAGAAACTGCCAATTGTGCTATTTGACTCTCTTTCCCACAATATTACTCTGGGCAAGGTGCAGTACAGAGATCCTGCATTTATTCTTTTTTTCCACTTCATGCTTAAAATCCCATCACAACTTCCTGGTGGCTCAGATATCAAGAAGCAACAGAAGCCGCTCCCACAAGTCACCCTAAGTTACAAATGGGATCTAAACTATAAATCAGTTAAGAGAGTGGGAGCAGAAAGTCATTTCATTTCCTGTTCCACTGAAAAAAAGAAATCCACCACATCGCAGATCAAAGAGGAAACTATCTTCCAACATCTGCTTACTAAAATCCTTCATAAAACTTCAACAGAGTTCATACAGGATGATCGCTGTTCAGAGGCCTAACCCTTCCCAAATTCCTGCCCAGAAGATGCTACAGAATCCAAGAGTCGAGACATCAAAAAAAGAAAGAAAGAAAGAGAGGGAAAGAAAGAAAGAGAGAGAAAGAGAGAAAGAAAGAAAGAGAGAGAGAGAGAGAAACAGAGAGAGAGAGAGAGAGAGAAAGACAGAGAGAAAGAGAAAGAAAAAGAGAGAGAGAGAGAAAGAGAGAAAGAAAGAGAGAGAAAGACAGAAAGAAAGAGAGAGAAAGAAAGAAAGAAAGAAAGAAAGAAAGAAAGAAAGAAAGAAAGAAAGAAAGAAAGAAAGAAAGAAAGAAAGAAAGAAAAGGATACCGATGCCTTGCCGACCTTGGTAGCCTGCAATGCGGCAGCTACATTGGCTGGATCAGGAGAAGGGCTCCTCCGAGAGCCTCTAGTCTACCCCGACCCCCACCCGGCGGGTGCCACTCACCGAGATGGAGAGTCAGATTAATGGTGTTGGGGTACTGGACGCCGGCCAGCATGGTCTGGCTCTGCCACCAGGTGGTGTCGGCCTGGTTGTTGTAGTCGGTGAGGAAGGCAGCGCCGTGCTGCAGGTGAGGCTGGGAGGCGTCGCACAGGTGGCAGGACTTGGTGACCCCGGTGACGCCGGTCTGCACGCAGTATTCCTCGGCCGGGCTGCCGCACGTGTTGGTGGCCACCACGGTGGCGTTAAAAGCAGCGTTGACGAACTCGGGCATGCAGCGTTGGGGTCGCCCGCTCTGCTCATCCGCGCACTCGTCCATGGCGCCGCCGCACGGCCCGATCAGCAGCAGCAAGAGCAGCCCAAGGTTCAAGCGGACGTCCATCCCCGCGGTTTTCCCTTCCTTCTCCCAGAAGCCCGCAAAAGCGGCTCGCCTGCCCGCCTGCCTGCCCGCCTGCCCGGCCCTTGCTCTCCGCTGTCTCCCGAGGAAAGAGGGGCCCGGCTCGCTCTGCAGCAGCGCTCACATCCACCGAGCCTGCATAGAAAGCTCGTAGCGCCCACACACACACACATACACACGCACGCAGCCTCCCTCCGCTCTCTTGGCTAAAGGGTGGGGGCACCGCGTTGCACGCTGGGATACGCAGCCCTCCAGCAGAGGCGGAGGGTGAGAGGGGAGGCGAAGCTTGGGGGGCGGGGGGGGGGGGAAAGAAAGGGCTTGACCGGGATCCTTCCAGGCGCGGCCTCATCCCACACCCCCGCCGCCGCCGCCGCCGCCTCTTGGAATGTCCTGAATGGGGAAGGATTCCCGCGTGGGAACTTTTTGCCAAAGAGAGGGGGGAGAAAAAACAAGAGCCCGCAAGGGGAAGAAAGGAAGAGAGAGCAGCAAAGCCTTCAATTTCCTGCCCTTTCCGCGCCAGGCCAGGTTAATTAATTAATTAATTGGTCGATTTATTTTATTATTTATTGCTTTATTTTTACTGTAGTATTTTTATTTATTTATTTATTTATTCTAAGCGAAGCCCAAATTGTGGGAAGCACTGCAAAGAGCAGCGGGCGACTTGGGTCCCGGCCCCCCCGCGCTGCAGGAAAGTAACTTCTTGCCTTCCTTGCGCGTTTTTACGCGGAAGGAAATCCTGCAGAATCCCGGGAAACTTGATTTCCAAGTAAGGAAAAGAGCAGCGGTTGAAGTTTGTGGTCTAACTTAGGAAGTACATGACGGGACGGGACGGGACGGGTTCAAGTCGCGGCTGCGTTTGCAAACCCCCGCCGGCTCTGATTTCTCAACTGTACGTTGGTTTTATAAACGGCTTTACTAAAAATAAATAAATAGTTGGACGTCTCGGCGGGCGAAGAGAGATACACAACCGCTCTCTGGGAAGATGTGAACTTATTTATTTATTTTTATTTGTCAATTGCTTACATACAAGATAATAGGTATAAGTAAAAACATAGTTATGAATACATGGATACATATAAGGAAAATTATATATATGTATGTATGTATGTATATGTATGTATAAAAGAAACAATAGGACAGGGATACGCACATTAAGACTTGGCGGAAGTTAAAGCAGAAAAATCCTTTTGATTAAATTTGCTCTCTGAGCATTAATAGTCACAACAAGATTTCCAGTGTTTATTCGGATATGAGTTGATTTGACTTCAATCCCATGTCCCTCAAGTCTATCTACATTTAGCCGGTCTCTGTTAGATAGGAACAGGCTCTTGATTACCTAGCACAAATAAATAAAGCATGAGTACATAGTCGCCAATCTTTTCATGCTTGCATTCAGATTTGAAGGTGAAACAGCCAATAGTTGAATCACACTCTAAGTATCTTGGCTGAGTACAGTAATTTAATCATGCTTTCTTAAATGTGAAAGTCATCCTATTGGGGAAAAAACAGAGATAAATCAGTAGTACTCTAAAAACATTTCAAATCATTCATAATTCAGTCATTTGGAGAAATACTCAGGTGACAAAAGTTCCTATGACATGATCTGCCATTTATTCAAACACACACACAATGGTACATCTTTTAAAACGCATGTTCTTACATTTCAATCTTTTGAGATGTAAATGCTCAAGCTATTTTACATGCATATTAAAAGTACACAGTTTATTAGATTTTTAACTCACTTTTATTACTTTATAAGTAGCTCAAATTAGCAAAGATATCTAACAGCCCTCCTATTTTCCCCACAACAACCCTGTGAGGTGGGCTGGGCTGAGAGAGAAAGGTTAGGTTTCATGCCTAAAGCCGGATTAGAACTCACAGTCTCCCGGTTTCTACCCTGTTTCTCCAACAATACGGCCTCCCCCAATAGCAAGTCCCAGCATGTTTTATAGGCATGAAATGAAATTAAGCCCCTCCCCCCAAATTAAGGCCTATATTAAAACATGCAAAATGGGGCAATGGTGGGGGGGGGCTTGCCATTAGGAAGTACTTTTGTTGCACACTCAGATATGGTGCTGCCTGCGTTGACCCCAATACGAAGTGCCCCACCAACGCCGAGGTCAACATCCAAGCCGTCGCCGCCCACCCGAAGATGCAAGGGGGGGGAATTAAGTCACCCCCGAAAAGATGGCCTTTTTTTCGGGGCTCAAAAAAAAAGAAGACCCGGCCTTATTATATGAGAAACACGGTAGCCTGATGTCTTAACCGCCATGCCAAACTAGCTCTGATTTGATATAAAGTTTCAAGAGATTTGAAGGTTCTGGGATCACAGTTAATTATTGTGATACTAAAGTGATTATAGCATATAATATAGGTTTTTGGTGTGGTTGATTAAAACCCCCTTCTGGATCATATAGCTATGCATTCATTGCTGTCAAGTTTGTGTCCTTTGTTTTCTGTCATTTTATTTTTAAAATTATTGTTCCATATGTGTTTAACTGTGAATCTCCAAATCACTGGAGTCAGGCAGCATAAACATTTAATTAATAAATAACCCATATGGCCAGATACATTTTGTATTTACATACATTTTGGATATCGCTTATGTACCACTATTCCAATATTTTAAGACGAATCTGAAGATCTTGTCCCAAATAGCCAACTATTTTTATTTCAACACAGGAGAAAGGAAACAAAGGAAGAAAAGAATAGTCTGGCTAATCATGAGTTAAAATGAACACATGTAATTACCTGCAGTTGTGCTTATATTTACAGTAGTTAGGGAAAACCTTAAATTCAGTTTCATACTTCATATGCAACAATTCAAACTGTAAGTCAACGTTGACTTTTCCCCTGCTTTAAACCTAAAAGGGTACCTATCAATTATTTTAAGTGAACCAAAGTGATCACGGAACTGTAGTTCCTTCTGATTCTGTAGTAGGTATGATTTGATGATATGTATTCTTCCAAGTGGAATTAGTGACAGATTTTATTTTCCTAGGGTCCAAGATCACTGCAGATGGGGACTACAGCCAAGAAATTAAAAGACGCTTGCTGGGAGGAAAGCTATGGCAAATCTAGACAGCATACTAAAAAAACAGAGACATCACCCTGCCAACAAAAGTGTGTATAGTCAAGGCTATGGTATAGTCAAGGCTATGCAATGTACGGCTGTGAAAGTTGGACAATAAGGAAGGCTGAGTGCCAAAGAATTGAGGCCTTTGAACTGTGGTGCTGGAGAAGAGTCCCTTGGATTGCAAAGTGATCAAACGAGTCAGTCCTACAGATCATCAACCCTGACTGCTCTTTAGAAGGCCAGATCCTGATGATGAAACTCTAAAATACTTTGGCCACCTAATGAGAAGGAAGGACTCTTCACTGGAGAAGAGCCTAATGCTGGGAACGATTGAGGGCAAAAGAAGAAGGGGACGACAGAGAATGAGGTGGCTGGGTAGAGTCACTGAAGCAATCGGCATGAACTTAAATGGACTCTGGAGGATGGTAGTGGACAGGAAGGCCTGGAGGAACATTGTCCATGGGGGTCACGATGGGTCGGACATGACTTTGCAAGTAACAACAACATTCTTCCAAGCATTCACCAGTCACATAAGCACTTCTTCTGTTTCAATGAGCCTTTTCAACAGGAGAGAACATTTATGGGGAACATTACATATAATGCTTTAACCCAGGGCCATTTTAAAAATGATAACCAATTATTTAAGAATTATACAATCAAGATTTGACAATATAACTTCGAATAGGTAAAATGAGGATCCAGATTACTAGCGGCAATAGGCTGACTCCGTATAGGTAGTCTTTGATTTACAACAGTTCATTTAGCGACCATTCAAAGTTTACAACAGCATTGAAAAAAGTGCTGTATTATTGTTTTTCGCACTTAAGACCATTGCGGCATCCCCATGGTCATGCGATCAAAATTCAGATGCTTAGCAACTGACTCATATTTCTGACCGGTTACAGAGTACATGATCACCTTTTGTGATCCTCTGACAAGCAAAGTCAATGGGGAAGCCAGATTCACCAAACAACCCATAGGACTAACTTAATAAATTCGATAATTTGAACTGGCAATTCATGATACAGCAAATTTATAATATGAATTTAAGAACAAAATTTGAGCACATAACAACAATATATTCCAATCAGAAGGTAAATATTGTTTTATAGTGAATGGTGAAATTACCCAGAGCTTATTTCTAAGAAAAGGAGTTAGACAAGACTGCCCACTGTCTCTTCTGCTTTTTATATTATCACTCAAGACCCTCCTTAGACGAATTAGGCAAAATTCGAAAATAAAAGGATTAAAAGTCAAAAAAGAAGAATATAGATTACAAGCTTTCACGGACGATATGGTCTTTGTTACTGAAGATCCAATAGAAACAGGAAAGGAGCTAATTAACGAATTAAAAAGATACGGGGAAATAGCAGGTCTGAAAATTAATAGAAAACGAAACTCTTGTCTAAAAACTTAACGAAATTACAACAAATAGGAGTAGAAAGAATAACAACTACAAACAATAAAGAAAATTAAATAGGTATATGGCTGACCATGCAATGTAAAACTATAAAGGAGAATAATTATGAAAAATTATTACAACAAACAAAAAAAGATTTGGAATTATGGGCTAAATTGCAATTATCTTTACTAGAAAGAGTAGCAGCTATTAAAATATCAATCTTACCCAAATTTTTATATTTATTTCAAACGATCCCTATTGGACTAGAGAAATCTTTTTTTAATGAACTTAATAAAATTACACTGAAATTTATTTAGCTAAGCAAAAAACCTAGAATAAAGATAAAATCATTACAGGATATAAAAAGCAGAGGAGGATTGGGTCTTCTGAATTGGGAGTTATATTATAATGCAACAGCATTAACCTGGACGAAGGATTGGATCAATTTAACGAATAAAAGAATACTAAGTCTAGTAGGCCATGACCTACAGAGAAGATGGCACACCT